ACCCTTCCAAACTCCAGCTCTCCCTCCAAACACTGGAGTCGACTGGTTACGCATGTTCAACTCCTAACCCTGCCCCATTTGAAATAACTTCTCTGTGTTACGTGGTTTGAATTCCGGAATCACCCGCACGCTCTCCCAGGCCCCTGAGTTTTCACACCTGAAGGTCCAGCTAGAGCTGCGCACGGTAGCTTGTTCCCAAGTTTGGTTGGAGGGAGCCTGCAGATTATGCCCATCCAATAAAGCATGACTCTGCGTGTCAGCGCAAGTCAAGGAGCCCTTAGCAAAGAAGAAATTCCCAGACGACAGCTCAGGACCACTGATTCAGGGTTTCTGGAGCTGGAGTCCTGGTATCGGCATTTTATCAGACTCCCCGCAGGAACCTCAGACACCCCAGATCTGGAGAACTGTGGGGCTGCAGCTTTGCTGAGATAAATTGCCGCTGCTTTAGACAAGAGCAAGAGTCTCACGCAGTTTGTACACTTCTGTGGTATTTTCCAGCCTTTCTCTCCATCACCTACCATTTTAATTATTGAGCATCAGAGAGGTCATCGCTGCCATCCGAGGAAGCTCAGTGTTCACCAGAGCGCTGGAAATGACGTCATAATAACTAGCTGCAGACAGACTTGATACACTGAAATGCAATATTTTTAAGAATGTTGGTATTTAATGTTTTCTAGGTTATTGAAATTAAGTGTTTTCTAGAATTTTTAAATTTAACATTTTCTAGAATTTTGACAGAAGGAGGAGTATAGAATAGTGTTTAAAGCTGGCTTTTGAAAGGAAAATACCTGGTTGAACTGGAATTAATTGGCCAGCTACAGACGGGTAAACTTTTTAAGTATGTTTAAGCAAAACTACTTCACATCCAAAAAAAAAGAAAAAAACCCTTTCTTCATTTAGGAACACTGATCCTCTGTTGTCCATTTTTACCACCAGGTGTTTTCCCCTGAAGCACATACACGCCGCTGTCACCAGAGGCAAACTGCCACTTCGCAGATCTCCCTCAGAGCTGCTCCAGTGTTTCCCGCCACTGCCCTTCCCTCCACTTTCAGTGATGAGAGATCCCTCGTTGTTCTGACACTTCCTTGCCTAGATGCTGCAGTGTTTCATTTTTCTTTTATGCCAAATGTAACAAAACAACTACATAAACTCTTTAAGCAAAATACAAAATAATGGCTTATCAATGGCATTTAAACATGCACTCATTTTAATCTACTGAGCAAATGCGGGGATAACTCCAAGCCGCATGAAAGGGTGCGACTGCCCCGTGAGTTACATCTTGAAGCCTAGGATTGTCAGCACTTCCAACTCGTTGGCTGACAGTGTTCTTTATGTTATTTATGTCAGCTAACAGGAAACAACTACTGTGTTTCAACATAAAAAATGCAATAGAAAACAATTTTTTTTAAAGATAGGATTTCAAAACGCCTCTTCCAGTCCTGCAGTGCCGCTTTGAGTGAAGTCTGCTTCTGCTGTGCCTTCAGTGTGGGCTACGACTCCCGTGGAGACCAGAATTTAGGCGCATTTCAGCCCCGCAGTCACCAGACAGGCTCAGATGTGCTCCCGCCGTCAGGACTGCAGCCCAACCTGGGGCAGCTCAGAGGAAGGGTGCTTTTCACACAGGAGGGGCTCCACGGCCTCCCCCCGAGTGGGAAGCAGCTGCTGCAGGAGGAGAAGGCGCGCAGAGGACAAGGCAGATATTGGGGGCTTTATGTCTTCTTTTTTCACGGTGAGCTGTTGCTTGAAATCTGGACGGCCAGCTCCTTTGAAGTGCTCTCTAAGATTGCACAAATGCATTCAAGGTAGTTTATTTGAAAGTAGAATGTTTGCCACTCTTCCTTGCAAAGGAATTTCAAAATCCTAACCTTTGCAGTGAGTCCAGGTACAAATCATAGTTTTCATAACCATTCATTCAGTAATTTAGAAACCTCTGCGAAGTACAGAAAAAGGATAAAATATTTATGATGCTCACATGCCAACTGGCTTAATCAAATAATCACTGTAATGCAAAGGATTTAATCTATTTTGCATTTACAACCTGGAGGCAAATACGTTTCAATGTACCTAATTAAAAATGACAAAGCAAAACTTTACATCCCACCTATGTAGATAAAACTAAAACAAAAATACAGATTATTTTTCTAAATAAGTGAAATACAAATTTGGTTATAAGGAATTTATTTTAAATGCATTTAGAGATTGACTAAAAGTTGTTCGAAGCACTGTATCAGGAACACAGCAGACTTCTTCCCCATAGACCTTTTGAGAACCAAATAATCACAGTGTAACAAGAGCAGATTTTCAGGCACCAAAACTGAGATGCATTCTTTCTAAACTACCGAGGAAGGAGACCAAAGGTGTGGCACTGTCTTTTTCTAGTCCTTTGACACGAAATATTTCTAAGAAGACAATGTTTTAAAGAGAAATTAGAAAAAAATAAATAACAGCAGTGTATTTAGTCATTTGGTGTGAGAGGTGGGGAGAAGATTACTTCCGGGCCCGGAGACCCTGGCGAGGCAAGGATGGAAAGGATGTCGGTGAGTTTACTGCGTGCGGTTGCCACACAGCGTGGCTTTGAACAACTCGTCCGTAGGCCACAGGTTTCTTTAAGAAGGACGCACAGAGGCCCACGCCCGCCGCGGCTCATCCTGGGCTTCGCCGGGAACGGACGCCGTGGACAACGGACCTCCAGGTGGAGAATCCCAGCTCCCCGCGAGGGAACCTCCTCCGGGCGGCAGTTCAGCGGGAGGCTGGCCCGGCACGCGGCGCGT